GATGAAGACCAGAACAGTCTACACACCCACCTAAGGTGTACTTCTCATCATTCCAGTTGCCTCCATGTCAGGGAACAGTAATCTCTAAAGTACTATGCAACTATTTGCCGCCCAGAGTCACCTTGTATGAGATGGGCGGCTATATAAATATGATAAATAAATAATCCCAACATGACCAAAATAACTTTAGATTTAAGTTTACTTTCCTCTGCTACACCACAAACCTCTTTTAAGGATGACAGGAATTTCAAATCAATTTGTGGTATGACACAAGTTGCCACTGCATTAAGCATTCCACCATGCATGCCCAACTCTTGGGTATATCTAAAGTAGCTCTTATCTGCTCCACACATAAATGTCAATCATTATTGACTACATGCATAAAATGGTACTGCAATTAAATTCAAGGGCACACTAACTGTAGCAGATGGTTTTTAAAAATAGATGTTTGCATAAATATTATTGCTATATCAGACCTTAGAAACAGTTTTGTTACAGACATATTATATAAAACCACATTTATCCTTTACCTAGAGATTATTTTGGAACTAACAAACTTCTGATTATCTGTTGCTTTTTATACAGCATTCTGGATTACTCAAGAATAAAGCTCTCTTGAATTAAAGTTTCCACCTGTTTCCCCTGCCCCAAGGAAAGATTTCCCAGGTGGCCTACAGTAATCCACATTATCCAGGAAACATGCACCCTCTTAAATACTGTACTCCTACTGAGAATAGTCTGAACCGACATAGCTTCCCAAACATTTTCCCCCTAATCAATTAAGCGCACATACTTTGGTATTGGCAGGAGGTCGCCCCAGCTCATACTTCCTTTTCTTATGGTAGGGCTTCCGCTTTCCCCCAGTCTTGCGGCGTTTGTGCCAATTATCCCTGGAGATACCTGGATAAAGAGAAAAATCAAGCGATACAGACACCGAAGCGGGTCATTAAACGTGTCCCTCCATGGCTTGGAGGAGTTCCGTATGCCCAGTGTTACTCAGTTCTCCAAGGTAAGAAGTCTCCGCATGGAATTCTCGGCCCTAATGCAGCAGTGGAAAAAGTTTCATCATTGCAACGTCGGGCAAAGGAACAAGTAGGGGGCTTTAGGCGAGGAAACACTTTCGCTCCACGGACGTCCCTCTCCCATTAGGAAGAGGTGGCTAGTGCGCCAACACAGCAGAGGCCGAATAGTCGTCCGAAGCCAAAGCAGGCCTAATTGCAATTGCTACACAAAACCGCCCAGAATATCACACGCATTTAGCGGCGTAAACATCTGCCTCCCGGTTACCCGACTGGCGGCTCCGCGGGGATGTCTACCGGGGCGGATGGTAGCGGATAAAACCACGATGCCCCCCTTCCTCTAGGAACTCACCCATCCTTCTCCGAGGCGCCGACTGCAAAGAGAAGTGCGCAAAGCATCACGGGGCGGTTTGTTCCACGGGAAATCTCGCGGCAAACCTCTCTCGTCTCAGTTGACGCGCATCGTTACGTCATTAAAATGGGACAAGGTCGAGGAGAGAGGTGGTTCTCGAACGTCCGTTGACATGAATGTGTGCGCGGAGGGTTTCTTTCTGATTTGGGTAGAAAGAAGCTAGTTAGGTGTATTCAGCTGTTACTACGGCTTGTTTTTCAGACTATCGCTGAACACGGGGAGGGGGCTGCAAATTCTTTGTTTCAGAGCGTAGCTACTTGGCGGTTTTTTTTTTTTGTGATGAACATGCTGCAGTTGCTGCTTGGAAGGGGAGGTTTCCCATAGCGGTTTGATAACCTCTGTTTTTTATACAGTGGTTAAATGTACAAGATCCAGTGCAAAAGAGGGACGTTAAATAGTTAAAAAACATAGTACCTGTACAATGAAGCGTAGATATAGATGGTTGTAAAGCTAAACTAGTAACCAGTGTAGCTTACTGCGGTTAGGGCTATCACACCTGGACTGTCAGACTTCGGGCGATCGCTGATGGCGGTGGAGACTTAACTCTTCGCTGCTATCTAGTAGTTGTCTTGGGGGTAAAATTTACCTGTGTGTGTTTTCTTCTGCCATTTCACAACATTAGTGGAAGACTTATCTTTGCCCTCAAACAGCTCCTTAAATCAATAGAAGAGAATATGTGTAACTCAAGATTAACTGTGGAGTCCTTGGGGTTCTCTGAGCTTGGTTGTTTTCTTGCAAACGTTTTGTTACCC